CTCACAAACAATTGGTTGATTCGATTAGTGCTAACGTCCAAGAAGAATGGAGAGAAAACAGAGCAAAATTTTAATTCTAACCCTCAGCTTTTAAACAACCAGGAACTGTATGCACAGCGAATCCGTGAACTTGAAAATGAAGCTTATGATCGTTCCATCAAAATCCCAAATTACGGACAAAATGTGCAAAATCTTCATTTCGGACATCAAATTTATTCAAATGAACAACCCTCTAGTAAACCTATTCAAAACACGAGGCCGTGTTTTACTGGGGCAAGGGGGTATTGTCACAGATGAAAATGTACCATGGACATTTTTGACAATTACTTTAGATATTTTCAATTCAAAATTCTACATATCTGTTATCTAATTTAAAATAATTGCTTAAATCTGTCACATTGATCTACTTTGACATGTTTAATTATCTTAATTAGCCATGAGTGATATGACCAGATGGACTGTGCTTTGTGTGACTTAATTATTGTTTATTTAAAATCATAATCTTTAACTCAACTTGTAAATCGAATTAACTTATGTCACGTTACTCAAACTTGTCAATTATCAAACTTGTCTATAAATACAATTTTTTGTTAACATTCGGAGAAATGAACGGGACGTGCTTGTATATTCCGACCCGACGAGAAATAAAGGTCTGTAAATCGTAAAGCGGCTTTATCTTCATTTACTAAATAATCCACCCTAGTGGCTTTACTGACAAGCCCATGCATCTTACGCGAGGGTGTGATACATGTATTGGTTTAAATTAGGGCAATTGAAATTTCTTGGCAAAGTTCAACATATGATGGTCATAATTTAATGCAAAAAGTGCATAGAAGCTTGAATATGAATTCGTGTATTTTTAGAACTCGCGGAGTCTTTATTAAGGCTTTATGCTGGAAATATGTTAACAATTACAATGTTCTGGGTCGCGTTCGTGGATATACATTGAACTGGCATCACATGAATTCATCGGTTTATCCTAAAACCTTGAATATGATGCATGGAATGAAATTCCAGAACATGTATGCAGCTATATATTAGAGGAATTAAAAATCGATTTCAGAGATTACGAGATAATATACTTTTACCTGACAAAGTACATTATTAAATTCCTAATTTTCCTGATAAACTAGACGATTAAACAAACAAAATTTTAATCACGATATTTGTACAGAACAGCTAGGACGAGGAACTTTTGAAAGAGAAAAAAAAATCACTCAGGAGGGATTCTAAGTTTATTCAAATACATCACACATTATAGAACTTATAAAACACTCAATGACTGTTCTGTAAGGTATTTAATAAATCCCCAGTCCGGTGTATAATTGTCCCCTTACCTTTCCATCAAATTGCAGCACCAAACTTGATTACCCATCTCCGAAATGAACGATTATATTTACTTATACCTCATATGACGTAGTAAGTTTGCTTTTATCATTTGTGCTGTTTGTTTATTTACCTATTTTCAAATTTATGCCCTTGCACGGGGATATTTTATTTGAAACGGGAGGTTGTTATTTGATTGATCATCCTCAGTTATCTATACGTTGGGGAAATCTGCAAATTAGCATAGCTGTATTTATATGAAACAGCAATGCCCCTGGCCCACAAAAGCAGTCTATGTTAAAATAAATGGATAATATGTTTGTCTTGGAAGCTATAAAACGTACAATTATTAATACCTATTCAGTTAAAGTCAAACACTATTCAGAATTAGCCGGAGATTTCCTTTTCCTCTCTCTTTTTTCCCTATAGATTTTTCTTTTCAAAATAGACGAAGTCTCTGAAAATATTGGAAATTCACGAGAAACATTTCATTTTCCAATCCATGACATCTATTCTTTAATTTTATTGTATACTATACACACAGAAGAATCTTTTCAAACAACGGAATTCTCTTAGTTGCACACATTACATTTTCTCTTTCAATGCTCCTACTGGATTCGAACCACCTACCTTGACGTCTTTGATCATCGTTTCGGGAAGAACATGGTAATTCCTCAGATATTCAAAGAACTCCTCCGTCAAGATGATGTTGTGGACGAGCAGACGATGATTCCTCCGGACGATCTCCCTTTCCCGCTCATCCATGGCTCTCGTCTGCTGGTCTAATCCCAGTCCTGTCACCCGTCACGGAATTCTTTGGCCCATCGTAAATCTATTGTGTGGAGGTTTAATTATGGTCATCAATGATACATGTTTATCCTCTTCTGAATTCTTAACCAAATTTTCTGTCGTAAAACATACTTAGAGTGCTCGATAACAGCTGAAGGAAGTCATTGTTCGCGGATGAGGATTACATATGACACTTAGCCATTGTTTAAAATCTTCTAGTTTACCGTAGGAAATCAGAATATTGCGATTCAAGAATGGAAATCGCCGGTTGCATACAAGATTGCGTGACACTCCAGTAAAATGTTAGCCTAATGCGTGTGCTATTAATTTTCTTCCAAAGCGCCGAGGTTACAGTGCAGAAACTTCAAAAAAGGGTCCCATCACAAGAAAAGGAAGCAGTTTCTTCAATGACTCGCAGAAGACAACAAAGCGACACAAAAAATCGACCACATTTTTAACGACACATTCAAGTGATTATTGGTTGGTTGATTAACTTTTTTTGGTCTTCAATGGATCGATTGTAAAATTGTTCCTGTCAAACGCCTCTACTATAAACTACTTCCCGCCAGACAAACTTGAATCTTTAAATATTCCCCGTCCTACACATTTACTCTTTCGTTAATATACAAGAACCCGTGCAGCTTTTTTTCTCGTGAGATAATTGAAAACTAAGTTGTTAAAATTGTTTTGAAGTACACGGAATATGTTCTGGATTTTAATTTTCAAAGGCTGCAAGATTTAAATGAGCATCGATTACCTAATATACCCTAGCATATCATTATTTTGCAAAAGTACACATTGTATAATTAGGAAAATCACAGGCGGTTATAGTATTCGCACTCAATAATTTGCCAGCTCCAGTAGAAAACGAGATTTGTTTATGAAACAGTGATGATCCTGTATGACAACTTTTGAAGTTTCTTCAAGTCGGGTCAACACGGATCAAAATTGTATTACCCAAATAAAGGACTAGTCTCATTGAATATACTTGTGAAATATGAAAGCCCAGGCACTTACAATTAACAAGCTGTGGCCAAGGTAAAAGGCTTTTTTTTAATGTAGGTTAAACTCCAAGGTCAAGGGGTCAGATTCGAGGTACCAAGGGAAAGGCCTTGTCACAAGAAAGATATATAACTTTTATTTGGTTGGAGCAATATGGCTCTCATATTTCCCATGTGTATGTAACAATTTGAACTCCTGACATTTTGGAGTTTGACTCAATTTTGCAAGAATTTCCTCAACTTAACCGTGGCAATAACTTTTGAACAGTTAGTTCTAGGGCTTTCATACTTCTCATACATGTGTATTCATTGTGAGCAGTCCTTTCCAAGAAGATGTATGGCATGCCAAATTCACAAAAATGAGATAAACCTAGTTTCACATTTGATAAACTAGGTTTATCAACTGTAAACCTAGTTTCACATTTGATAAACTAGGTTTATCGACTGTAAACTATAGTTTACAAACCGTAAACTATAGTTAACTATTCGTTAAGTATAGTTAACGATTCGTTAAGTATAGTTTTCATCTGTAAAACTATATTTAACGGTTGTTAACTATAGTTTACGAATGATAATCTAAGTTTATCTGTCTGTAATAAGCGTTAACAATAGATTTTGTTGATAAACATAGATTCACGTTTGTAAACTATAGTTTACAATCGTAAACTATAGTTAAGACTTGTTAATCATAGTTTCACAAATTGTGAAACTATATTTATCAGATCGTTAACTATAGTTAACGGTTTGTAAACTATAGTTTACAAATCGTGAAACTGTATTTATCAGATAATCTATGTTTTGCAATCGCAAATGATTGTTTTCGGTGTTAAGTATAGTTTAGTTGTGAAACATAGATTATCGCGTTAACTATGGTTTACAGATGTGAAATATAGATTAACGTTGTTAACTATAGTTTACGGTTTGTAAACGATAGTTTACAGTCGACAAACCTAGTTTATCAATTGTGAAACTATGATTTACTCTTATTTTCTGAATTTGGCGTGCCATAAAGATGAGTATTTTTTACCTTTAGTTTTTTTGTTTGACCTGTTTTTCAAAAACTTGATCTCAGATTTTTTTTACTGTAACTACTAGGCCCTTTATATTTCATCTATGTAACCCTTGTGACAAGGCTTTCCTTTGGATACCACCAATATTCAATCTTTTTTTTCTTGACCTTGGTGTTTTATTGTAATTTTGAAAAACTTTTAAGCTTCGTCATAACTTTTGAACAGTTGGTACAATTAAGGGCTCTAATATTTCACATGTGTTTTTCTTATGATAAAGGCCTTTCTCTGGGTACCTTTGATTTGACCTTGGAGTTTGAACCACATTTAAAAGACCTTTGATCTTGGCCTGACAGATCATTCTGCTGAAACCCAACATAAAAATACATTTCATTGTAAAAGGACTAGCAGTATGAAGGATCTTCAAAACATGAATGGTTTAATGCAATAATGCATAGATCTGGATTAGGAAAAACATCCAGAATTATCAACATTGAGCAAAAACCAGCGAAAAATTGTTGCTGATGCTTTCAATTCCAATATGACATTCTATCTCAAAAAATCTGTGATTACAGACACATTCTGTTTAACAGTTGTTTAATTCATTCCATGAATGTGTAAAACTTCACAGATATATTACGTAGCTCTGCTTCATGTAGTACTTGTAAAATTGCCTCTGATTAAATCAAATTCAACAATCTCAATTTTCAAGTTCATCCCTTTCTTGAATATCCCAAAAGTTCCTACCACAAGTTCTAACAGTATTTAGCACTTGAACCTTTCAATGACCTTGATCTCAATTTTTCGTTTTATACATCAGAAATGAAAATCTTTCAAATACACAAACAACTGGTGCTGTATGTAAAGACAAGAAACGTTTCAGTTTGTTTGGTATTTATTTACAATAAATACATATATACTGTACAGAGTTGTCCCCTCACAACACGCCTGTATTTTGTTTGGAATGTCTTCATGGGATGTCAATGCTCCTATGTTGTGTGGTGAAATGACACAGATCAACTAGTACTGACTTATATATTTCATGAAAAAAGGAGAATCTAACTCTATGAATGAATAATAATTCATAAGGTTCCAATATCTTTAGTTAAAATTGTAAAAATATCTTTTACTTGTTATAATCTTTGATAACTTGATTTTTTTGTACCCAGTATTTAAAGTTTTATGAAACAGGAAGTATGCAAAAATAAAGTTTTTTCTGGGAAAAAAAATGGATTTAAGTACTTTTACTGAATAATTATCTGGTTCTAAATCAATTAATGAATTGATATTTTTTTAATAATTCAAAGCTCAACAAAAAGGAAAAGAATTTCTTTTACAAAGTTTTAAAAGAGCACTTTGGCCCTTTAATGAAAAAAGTATATGGTAGCAGTGAATGAAAAGAAGAGATTTTCCTGTACACAGATGAGAAATACATAATCATTCATGCCTTCTAAGAATTATCAGTTGGCAAAATCTGCCAAATCAAGTGTTCATTTTGAAACATTACAGTGTTATAATACAGTGTGTATCAGTAATTAGGAAAATACTTCATAAGTGTAAATTCATATTTAACAGACAAAAAAAAATATTTCAGTAAATCAAACATTCTACAATGTCAAAAAATTGACAAAAAACAGTCATCTTCAAATTTGAAATTAATTTTAAAAACAAAACAGTATAACTTGCACTAGAATCATAAAATATGCACCTTTAGAATTTCAAAATAAACTTTGAAAATTTAACAATCAGTTTATGTAAATATTCAGATGCTTTGAGTTGTTTGTGTACTTAATAAACAGTAGTAAATCTTTTATCCTTCCTTAAGCAAATGTTTACATTAACGAGTATTGTATGAAATACAGTTGCCACACATCTCTTAACTTTACCATTGTTTACAATAATAATCTTATGATAATGATGATACATGTACTTTAAAATCTTTTGGAATGATAAAAAAATCAATATTTTCTTTCCAATTACAAGTAGTTACTATGGCTAGAATAAGATAAATCAAGGATTTTTTTTTTTTAGATTACGAAACTTAAAATATCTAAACAAAGCCCTTGATATGTATGCGTAGACACTTCGATGAATTAAATTCTATAATGAATACCCCTACCCTAATGTCAAAATTACAGTCACATATTCTGTAAAAAAAAAAAACCAGATCACTGGAATGGATTAAAAAATAAGTTTACAAACTGAGAGGTTCTGAATTTTCAGTTAACCTTATGCAACATATTTTTATACAATTAATGTAGTTACATTTACAAAGAACATAATAATCATTCACAATCCCCGAGTCTTTCAAAGCACTTTTACATTGAAAACTTAGTAACATAACAAAAATACATATAATACATTATAAAGTATGAAAAGTCTTACTGAGGAATATAGCTAGGCTCTGTAGCCGGAAAATGCCCTATCTTAGGAACACAGACTGACTCCAACCCCATATGAAACGTGACAAGATGGGTCCAATAATGATTTTAGGGGCATTAAGTATACATAGGTCCTGAAAAAAAATTGAATTCACTAAAATCTACTTATATGATACACATCATAAATAATCATACAATTATTATGGACAAAAAAAAATCCTTTCTGTATAAAATTTTTTCCTTACTATTTTATAGCTATCAAATATTGAAATAATAATAATACATAATCTGTTATATAATTAAATGACTAAATTTTTTCATTAAAAAAGTAAACACAACCCATTCAATCCGTCTTGCAACATTCACCAACATGGAAAAGAAATTCACAGAGTGAAACATTCTAACAGGTGCTAGCACTACATGGTCTTATGACAATGACCTCTTGAACTTTGACCTTTAAACAGGTCAACTACTTTTCAATAACAATTTCACATGTGCCATTTCTCCTTGACTTAAAAAAAAATTTACATAAAAAAAAAAACAGATCACAATAATTTCCAGTGAGATTCAAAAGGAAAACAGATAGCACTGAGTTTATAGTTTACAATAACATGGAAGCACATAAAAAAAAGTGACAAGTTCTTATTTATTCCTCAAAGTATTATTAATATCCAGGTGCCAAGGTATAAAAAAGGAAAAGGAATTCCATGGACTTTTTTGTTGGAACCTGTCTAGAATGTACTGACAACTCCATAATATCCCAGGAAAATATTTTTTTTTTGTTTTCCAAGGACAGAGTTACTGTCCTTGAATCACAGAACTGAAAACAATATAGGTGGCATCTACACATGGGATTCGTCATTAACAAGCTTCTTAATCCGTTTCATTTCCACTTCCGTACTTAGACGGATCTTCTTCTCTTCGTCCACTTCGTTAATTAAATCCTTAATTTTCCGTAAACAGGAAGTCTTGAAGGTTTCGAAGTCTTGTCTGAGTGTCTCATTTTCTTTCTTGAGTTCATCATAAGTTGCTTTTGTAACACTATTGGTTCTAAGTTCCCTGATTTCTTTTTTAAGTTCTTCAATCATTGACAGCAATCCTGACGAAGCTACAATATCATGCAAAAATCAAAACAATAATTAAAAGTATAAGATATTCAATAACTCTGAAGGTTTTAAATTACATGTATTACAATTTGATCCTTAAAATTAATGTTTAATATTTGCCATAAGAACAAAATTTTACCACCATGTAATTTTATTGTCACAGTTTTCGCGTAAGCTAAAGAAGATGGGCGCATTTGGCGTGTGATCTGCAGGAATCATTTGTACGAAACATTTATGGTTTAAATGTCCATGATTTGGTTGGCTGAACATAGCTGGTCAGATTTTACAAACTTTTACGTCCATAGGTTTTTTTTCATTTAGTTTGAAAGACCTGTGAGATTGTAACATTTATGTCCTTTTTTCCTAGGGGGTACTATAACATTGATAATGTTTCACAAAAATTAATGCATATATGCATGATACGTGTACATGTACATTATAGAATAAAAGATCGGAATTGAATTCGCTCGAGAACCAAACTGAACCAAAATTTATCTAATTCAAAATTTTAATACATCAGTACATAAAACGAAACTGACAAAATAAATGGTTGTTTGCATGAAAAAAAAATTAACACCCCATGCCAGGCTCGAACGAAAAACTTTTTGCTTTTAGTGCACTGAACAGGTACATGTAGCCCAACTTACTGAGCTATCACCGCTACAAATATACAAATGATTTTAAAGGGACAAAGAAGCACAACACTCACATATTTGGATTTTTCGGAAAAAGTTCATTTTTCGTGGTCTCTGGGTCTTCTCTCCATTTTTTAAAAATGTGTATTTGTTTCTTTGAATTAAAATACATACAAATAATTTTTCAAAATCATGGAAAGAAGACCCAGAAATAGAACAATTTTAGAAAAAATGTTTAAACATAGGTAATCAGAGATTACAAAGCTCACCTCAACGAATGTTGTCTTTGAGTACGGCAAAGTCACACAATTAACCAACAAGAAGTGTACATTCCAAAAATGAAAATATTTAAGCAATTTTAATCTGATTTTGAAATAGACCTACATAAAAAATATAAACTAGTTCTTCTTCATGAAAATGTAATTAAAATCCAGCATCTGAAGCAAATTTGAGAGTTTTCATCTCTTGATGCAACATTTGTGCAAGTTTGGTTTATACAATGTTATATAAGCCTTATAGTTTATTGGTAATAGACCTGCACCCATAACTTTTACCTGGTCTATTATCTAAAAATGTATGTCGAATTCAGCATCTGAAGCAAGTCCATTAGTGTGCATCCTAAGATGTATCATCCATTATAGGGCTCATAGTTAATTGGAAATGAAACATGCATCAAAAACTAACATTTTCACTCATCAACAAAAATTAGGTCAGATTCAGCATCCGAAGCAAGCCCGGTAGTATGCATCCTTTTATGTATCATCCATGCAAGTTTGGTCATTAAAGAACTCATAGTTACTTGGAAATGAATCATGCACCAAAAACTTTAACCTATTCACTCAACTGGAAAATGTAGGTCAGATACAGCATCCGAAGCAAGCCTGGTAGTATACATCCTTATATGTATAATCCATGCAAGTCTGGTCAACATAGGGCTTATAGTAACTTGGAAATGAAACCTGCACCAAATACTTTAACCTGTTCACTCAACTGGAAAATGTAGGTCAGATTCAGCATCCGAAGCAAGCCCGGTAGTATGCATCCGTAGATGTATCATCCATGCAAGTTTGGTCAACATAGGGCTTATAGTTACTTGGAAATGAAACCTGCACCAAAAACTTTAAACTCAACCGTAAAATGTAGGTCAGATTCAGCATCCGAAGCAAACCTAGTAGTATGCATCCTTAGATGTATCATCCATGCAAGTTTGGTCAACATAGGGCTTATAGTTACTTGGAAATGAAAATACACCAAAAACTGCACCAACTAGAACTGTCCAATAGGGACAAATACCCCCCGCTGGGTTTTTTGCCAATCAAAAATACTTTATGGATCTAGAGATGTTCACAATTTACTTTAAAAAATTTGCAGTGAAATATAATTGCTCATCATGTTTCTTAATGAATGAAACGGAGGTGCAACCAAATGAAACATCAATACTAATACTGTAATACATTGTAATTCCATTGTAACATTTTTTTTTTTTATTTTTTTCATTTAATTTTTCTTCATTACTGCATTAAAAAAATATATTGCAATTATGTGTTATGTCAATCTGCAAACTGATTGTTGAAAAAAAAAACATTATACAAAATCAAATTAATCTTGATATATCAATTTGAAATGCATTTTGAAAATAAAGAACTGGTCATCCAGTAATGAAGTGTTTTGACAGACAATAAATTACAATTAAGAGAATAAGAGAAGAGAGATCTTTAATTCTTGTGCCTTATTCCCTGAAGATTTGATAACACACACACACTTGATAAGAGATATGCCTAAACAACTTCCAACACCAAACTCATTAATTTATCTTTAACTGGATGCATGTCCAGTCATTATTCCCAAGAGACAAATGAAATTACATTATCTTCTGTGCAATGTAAAAACTGTTTTTAACACTTGATGTTTCCTTTTTTACAAAAGTTTTTGAGTAGTTTTAAGCTGTAGTTCACGTTTTTGTACAGATATTCTAGATTCTACGTCTCAAACCTTATACATGAGCCCAAAATGGACAAGTCAATTAAAATTTTAAAAAACCTGTAAAATGCAGAAAAATGAACAAAAAGAGTTGAAAATTCCAGGTGCACAACTTCATATGGTGAATAATAATTGTACAAATTTTCAGATTAATCCTTGCAATAGTTTCTGAGAAACGGTCCAAACAAAACCCCAAAATAAAAATGAAAAAACACCTGTAAAATTCAAAATAATAATCCAATCAAGATGAAAATATCAGGTGCACAACTTCATATGGTGAATAATATGTGTACAAATTTTCAGACAAATCCTTCCAATAGTTTCTGAGTAATGGTCCGGACAAAGTCTCGTCTACAGACAGACGGACAGACAGACAGACGGACAGACGGACATGGTGATTCCAATATACCCCCCCTAAACTTCGTTTGCGGGGGGTATAAAAATGTAAACCTGCTCCAAAAACATTAACCTGGTCATTCCTTTGCTGAAATTGCAGCATCTGAAACTTTGACTGGTACGATGAATCACACTAGAACCATCTTCCATGCATGTCTAATCAATATAAGACATAGAAGTACTTAAAAAGAAAACTGCTCCCAAAAACTTAACCTTAACCCGGGATGCTGACGCCGACACCGACGCCAAGGGTATTACATAAGCTCCCCCAACTTCGTTGAGGTGAGCTAAAAATGCACAATTTTGTACCAAATGTCTGATCTGGCCAATGTTCAAGTAATTTTTTAGCAAATCAAAGCTCAATTTTTGGAAAATATTTTCCTTTTCTGTTGCACAGGAACTCGATAAATAAAAAAAATGTAAAAATTTCATGTGACATGTCGATAAAATTTTCACTTTTCAATTACGCCCAGATTCCTGCCAAATGCCATTCAAAAGTGCCCTCTTTCTTTGCAAGGAAAAAAATTAATTTGGGATATTCCTATTAACTGATTTACACACTCCAGTTTATTTTACACTTAGTAATGTTTGTAATCACGCCAGAGATTCATGGAGAAAACTATGGGGAAAATCTTTCAGGTCCCTTTCATGGGATGATGTCAAAATCTTTAATTTGATGTCTGAGTCAGGGTGTCAGAGTGCAATAGAACATGGAAAATAGTAAATTGGGATTGAAAATAAAAATTCACGGTGAAACGGATTGCATGGGTGTCCGATATGAACTGTATTCTCATGCACTGTTTTAGCACTGTAGACTAGGGAAGATTGTTTGTTTGAACAATGCTCCTTACCCACACTGGCCTCTGGGGGTCGGGCCGGCTCGGGGGGTCTTGTAGGAAGAGCCTGGTGGTGGTGGTGATGATGTCTCTCCTTAGCTGGTAACTGGACCTAAAAGGCAGACATATTACATAATTCTGTCTATAATGTTAAAATGCTACAAAAGTGTGGTTAACTTCCAAGGGGTCATAAAATCTATTAAACACATATACTACTTTCTCCAATCATTTGATACATTTCAAAAGCAAAAAAAGACATACAAAATATTTTTTACAAAAATTTATATAAAATGTTAATTGGTTATATGTACTGATAGTACTTTGCAAATATGTCTGAACTTATAAAATTCATTTTAATTCAAACTTTGATCAACTCTTTATAGTTTGTAAGAGTACCAACATTCATTTAAGTGGCTGTTAAAGACATTCTTTCCATTCTTAACAGGACAGCCAAGGCTACATAAAATTGAAATTCTGATTCTCAGGCCCGATCGCATCCGTTTTGAGGTAGCAGCATTGCTAATTTTATTGTATTTTTGAAAAAATAAAAAGTTGGTATTGTGGAGACCAATCCGCAAAAAAAAGTTCCGTCCTCATTTTTTTGTATTTTAGTATTCAAATATCACTTCCGGTAGCCATCTTCAAAGAGAATTTGGATACTTCATTTGAAAATACATTCGAAGACATTGCCTACAATGTTCACACGCTGATAAGCAATGGATAACGCAAACCTTTTGAACAGACATGGAAAGTATATCTGTGATTAAAAAAATTATGTTTATTTGAAAGAAAATTCGAAAATTAAAAAAATACCTCACTCATCTACTTTATTGCCAATAAAATGATAAATAAAATGCCTCCCGTCTGCATCTGTTTTGGAGAAAATTGGCCTGAGAAGCTGTCTGAGAGAATTAAATTTAGATAGCCCAATACACAGTTTTTATTCCCGGATCATTTGTCCTTTAAACTCACCCCCGGTTCCTCAGTAATTTCTTTCACAGGTGGGGGATGTTTGTGAGTTGGGGTCTCTATGTCACCATTTCTTTCTTCCTCCTATAAATGATACACATTTTAGCTTAATACAATTATGTCCAACTTTTCTATTGTTTCAATATTTACTTCACTTACCCAATATTTACTTACTAATATGAAGCTGTATAATGATACATTGTACCTCCAAAACTTCCCTTTTCCTTTATTTTTGCTTTTATTCATAATTTTCTAGCTTTTTATTTTCTAGTTTCATCTTCAACCCATTCTACATCAAATTTGATGAGTCTCAAAAGATGTAAATCTAGCATTAAACCCACAACCATGAAATGAACAACAAGAAACAAATCTTATGCTAAAGCAACTCTGAGCATTAGGACTTTTTTTTTAAATTGTACACAACAATAGGAAAATGTCTTTAGAAAAAAAAATTACTTAAAACAGGAGAACATTTAATGAGTATTTGATAACCATTTTCTTTCCAAATAAAATGATTATTAGAGCAGAATATATATTTATCAGTTTATACTATAGAATACATGTAATACTAAAGATAGTATGCATAATTATATTTATCATGAGATAGTTTTGTTGAAATATTGTCAGAATACACTGAAATACAAAGTAACAAAACATCTGCCACTACCTGAGACTTAAGAAATATTTATTTTCAATTTTGATTCAAGATTCCATTATGCAAGAAAAAATTTAAGTGTGTAGCCTAAGTGGTCAGCTTTTACACAGGAGTGTTCGAAAAACTAATACAGAAATCTCACAGCAAAGCTGCTATAAGCTCAGAAATCCTTTAATGCAAAATATACTTTCTTCTACACTTAGTAAACTGCCAGTTATTTATATTGCAAATATTGCTATAATGGTTAAAGGCATTTTTCTGGCACTTATCAATGCAGGTTGAAAATGCTGAGAAACTTTTTTTGTTTTTCAAAGAAGTGCAAAATGAACTGCTTAGTTAATCTTTGGCAGAATACTAATTAGTTTGTACCTCTATGAGTCTTTTGTTATTTTTCTGTGAAGGAAAAATATAAGCTTGTTATTTTCCAAATAACTGATATGAAAAAATTTTGTACTATTTAGTATTTAACACTTAACATTTATCTCAGGTTCTTAATACAAGAAAAGTTTCAACAAAATTTATAATAAATAATTTATAGATTCTTTAGACTTTAACATTATTTCACTTTTATGAAATTAGTAGAGTTTACCAGTACAATTTCAAAATAAAATAAATTGATACAGTCATTATTATGTTCAGCAATGTGTCAACTTGTGTCGTGAAAACAATTCTCAGAAATTTGAAGATATTCATTAAATTATTTAAAAGAATTCAAATTCTAATTAAGATCTTTATTTCCTAACTTCTAGGGGTGAAAAATCTGTAAACTTTACTGAAAATATATCTTAACATAAATCACCTCTTTCCAGCTTTCATTTGATATAATGGAATTGAATAAAATATAAAGTGTTGATAAAAAATATTGAATAAAATGATCTCTTTTAACCTTCAGCATAAAACCAGCTAAAAGAAAACATACCCAAGATGCACAATAAATAATAAAAATATTCACTCAAAATTTCAATCAAATCACGGTCATGTGCAAAATAAAAAATCTTCCCAATAAATAAAACCTCGATAATACAGCCCTTGCGATACTGTGTTAAATCTTGGTTAATAAAGCTATAGCGTCTTACGTTATTAAATATTACTTGTGATGGCGGCCTCTTTGATGGTCCACGGGGTCGGTTAGCTGTTAAATGGACAAGTTTATCTGAGGTGGGTTCCATCCCATCAAAGTGAGATTCTGCGGAAAAAAAATCATAGGGCACAACATTAAAACAAGACGTATTACATCACAGGAAATATTTTCAAAATTTAATCATAAGAATTTTTTTTATAACATTAAAACAATATTAAAGTATTACATGACAGGAAACATTTCCAAAACTTTATCAGAAAGAAAAGAAAAGTTTTCTTCCATAAAAAAGTAATAACTTCCATGGTTATTTGCACTATTATGACATTTGTACTTGAATCATAAACTTTTATAAACCACCCTGATATCGCTATATAATTAATTAATCTAGTAAACTTAGGCCAGTCTTTAAGACAATCCCATTCCCCATTCAATAACCAGTCAACCCCCGTTACACTAACCAGAATGAGGTATATCTTTGTGACTGGCTGGCTCCTCCTTGCTCCCTCCCACCACAAAAGGTTTCCCATTAGACGTGGGGCGGGGAGGGTCGGGCTTGGTGGGCTTTTTCCCCACGGGGGGAGGTAACACTGGCTTTTTCCCTGGCAAGAGTGGTGGAGCAGGCTTCTCCGGCTCTGTAAATCATTATTTACATTATTTAATTAATATTCAGTATAAACATATGCATGACAATACATTTTTATTTTACAGAGCTGTTATCCTCAAATACACACAGGTGATCTTGTCTTTCACCAGTACTTAATTATTACTGATGAGTAAAAGGCAAGATCACCTTTGGGTATCCTTTGATGGTGTACTGTATCATTATATCAAAACTTTATCAAGAAAATGATTCATAATCTTAAGTATGAACATTATTTCATCTGAGAAATCTTCAGCTTGATTAAAATAAATGTATCAATGATACAAAAATTTACAGTAAATTTGTAAATTAACATGTCCATCAGTAAAATATCACGACCAACACAAGCCTACTGCTACCCTACCTGGTTCTTTTTTCCTGATGAACTTATCTGCCACATGATCCATGACAGGGGACTGTTTGTGGTCCAGTGACTTGTCTTTCTCCAGTGATTTCGATTTCTGTTGATTCAGCACTGCAGACGGGGGAGGGGGCTTCTTGGGTTTAGGCTATATATAGAACAAAACTTTAAATTTCATACCTCTTGCTTTAGTTGACAAGTTATTAATATCTCAGGAGTCAAGACGACAAAGAAAATAAAAATCAACAGCAATCAAACCATACTAATCATGTTAGAATATCAATATTCAAAATTAACAATTTTCTTTATAATACTATAAATGAGTGATACAGCCATGCATGCATCCAGCTATGATATCTATATGATGTGGAAAACAACCAAATATGACTTTGATCACCCATTTCTTAAAATTGCAAACGATTTGCCACAATTTTACGAATGATTATTTACCACAGTGGAGTTTTACATGTACATGTAGGAATGCTGAATAAACATACAAAATAGTAACACTCTAACCCCACTTCATGCTCTCTATGATTTTCCTGACTACATCCAAGGACTACTTTTAAATTATTTTTAACCCAGTCATTTTATATTGTTGATACCTTTACTTAAGTTTTCCCAACTAAATTATTTATATTGATTATCTATCCCATCACACCTCTACATCGTTTACCCTCTGCAGAAAAGCCAATTGTTTAAAAAGCAGTGACTGTCGCTACAATAATGAAGGGAATGAAAAATTTAAAAGATTCATGCACATGATTCAGGTTAAAAAATTGATTATTCACAATTTATCTCTACTTATACTTTAAAATCAAAATTTCAAATTATGGCAGAAAAAAAAGAAATTTGAAGCAACATGCCATGATCTGAACATAATCTCCCAAAGGTATTTGTAAACTACCAGTAGAGTGAGTTCTTGTACTTCTATATTCATAATGTATTATTAAATACCATTACTCAATGGAATCTTTCCAAACTAGGAGAACCAAAACATTTCTCCCCCACTTTTTTTTTTTTCTTGGGGGGGGGGGGGGGGGGTCAATTTTATTTTTCTGGTGAGTAACAAACCATATTCAAAACTGAGAGAGTCCATAATTGTATACTATATCTATATACATAGAATATCTTTTTCCCTCTTCCTTATTGAGACGTTCGTACAATATGATACAAAGTGGTACCAAAAATATTTCTATTTCAGAACCAAAAAAGCAGCCACGTTAATGCTTAAGCCTGATTATGTGTCATACAATGTAACATGCAGTCACTGTTTGACTTATAATGACAGTTTACACTGGAACTAAAAAACACTGAAACAGGAAAAAAGGGTGTTCTCTGAATGTTTCCTCCTTGTGTTAATACATGCTGTTTATATACCTTTTTTTTCTCAAATAAATGTGTGAATAAAAATATTTTACTGTATGATTATATACACAATCATTATTTACTTAGCAAAAATTGACTTAAAATGCTTTTTTGTGAAAGGTGCATTTTATATACTCTTTGTTAGATACAAAAAAATCCAACATGTATTTTTTAGTCAAGTACTTAATTCTACTGCTCTTATAAAGGACTTGAATGATTTTTTTTTATGATTACCTACACTTACCAGTAAATATGATGTATGTGAAACAAACTCACATCAAACATCAATTTCTATTGCTTAATATCTAAACCCAAGTGTGAGATAAAAATTGAGTAGATAATCCATATAGTTTTGTCAAGGCGCATTTTTTAATTTGCCTGATGAATTATATTGATAGATTTTCGTGAAATTAAACTCTTCAATTATTGTAAGTACTATTTGGATTCATACAAAATGTTTATCTCTTGTTAAGATACATGTATATGATTGCTGTTCTCAGTAAATTTTCCTGGTGTACATGTATATGTTTTCGCATGGCAAGGATAGTACATGATATAAATGTATACAGATTTGCTTTGATGTGTTTTAGAGGTGATATGCTTGCTAGCAGTGATATACAGAGAGATACACGATTTTACCTTGTAACTAGAAGCTCTTTGTGACCCCTGCAAAAAACAGCGGTCAACATTTTGTGACATACATTTCAGGCCGGTTATGATATCCATACACAACATAAAACCCCACAAAAAGCTACAACACATTGGGTTTCAAATTAGAAAGTCAAAACAGAAAATAAAACAGAAAATTAAATCTGGAGGAAAAAATCATGCAAAGTTTAGATTTAACAAGAAAAATAAAAGAGAAACCAATTTGAATCCCAAAATGCCATAAAACATAGGGAGAAAAAAAGGCAAGCAGGAATACACAATAACATTGGTCACTGTGCTCAAAAATCCTATTTCCTCCATGCAAAAGCCCTTCCTATAAAATTCCTTCCATTCTAGTGTTTTAGTGGAACTGAATAAAACAAAACAGACAACAAAAATTTACATTCTAAACATTCCCCTAACAGTCATCTATTCATCTGCCGAACACATGAAAGTTAACATGCAAAGTTTCCATAATTTTGATTTGAGAATTTATTATGGCATGAATGCAAGAAATTCTTCCTCAGATATTGCTTACTCATTATGAAAAAAGTTAGGTAGATTTGTATACATGGTAGTAAGAATTTTATATGAATTATCACATTTTTTTTTCCATATGCCTTGACATTTGAACACAACATGACTGTACAGAGTGTAAACTGGTGGCCTAGCACCGGGCTCCACTAGACTCCGAGCACAGTGAGAAAGGGAGGTAACTCAAAACGACGTACTTGTGGTGGTATTTTGGGGCTAGCCACTGGCCTAGAGAATTTGTCTAATCCCTGCTGAAAATATCCATGTCAATCATCAAGCAAGCATCAAACAAAGACAATCAAAACAGAAAAGGGTGTGTATATATAGTCTTCAGAATTTGCAGTATCATAATATGTCCTACTTCAAAATAAATTAAAAAAAAACAAACATCATTTTTCAAATATGAGTATTCATCATCATTATCTCAAGAATTCTAGTTATATATATACAGCTCCATTTTTAATTCTCATTTCGCAAGTGTAATGCACGTAACTTTAACTTCCTTGCATGCAAATCATACTCATATCAAGTAATATATTATTATAGGACATTCTATCGAATGCACCAAAATTCAATTACATACTTAAAAAAACATTCCTTCATTTACTTTCAAAAATGCTTTAATGCATAATCCATGCAAGGAAAAGATAACTCTTGCACAAAAGGACTGAAGTATTTACCTCCTCTTGCGGAATGAGTTCTACAAAGTTGTCGGGGAACACCCCGACCTTTCCGTTCAGTTCCCCTTTCCACCACCCAGCATCCTCCAGATCTTTGTCTAGAATCACTATCACATCGTTCTCCTTCAGACTTAATTCATCCTCATTATCAGCACTGTAGGAATAACGCACCACGGCCTTCTCCACCGTAGCTAAAAAAAATTTTAAAAAGTCAATTAAAATTTAAAATGCTATACAATTCTTTTAAATTTAGATAAATTTCCTCATAATTTACATAAATCTTGTCTTAAACTAGATGAGTTTTCTGCTTCCATTCTGTATCAGAAATGTTTGACTCTGGTGAAAAACAAGGAAGGAAGCGAGACTATGGGAATATACATAGACCCAATCATTGTATTGATTGTATAGGGTTTCAAATTTATCATCAAACCTCAGCAAACAGCTGCTATACTTCACAATTCAAGAATATGACTTAGGATCATCTTTTTACATATTTGTTTTGAAACTACACAGTCTGATGACTTAATTAAACAAGAATTTGAATTCTTTTCATATAATACTAGCCTTATTAATGATTTAAGCACTGCGTCACATCATTTACCATGTGTAAATGTTTTATAGCCATTCATCATTGATTTTATGCATATTTTAACAATGATATAATAGTTATTCTTGTTACAATGATATTAGTAAGACTATAAACAAAGAAAAGTAAGAAAGATTAGTATAGACAAGGTGTTAATAATTAAGGAATCCAGTCAAGATGTGATCCAACACTATAAAATGCAAGTTGAAGACTTTCTTGGAGAGAAAAAAATTATACAATGTTGAGAATGTTATCATTATTTTTATACCATCTCTAAATTGCAGAAAATAATAACAAGAAGAAACATAGAACAAGGGAAAAAAAATAACTACATAATGGTAAAGTATGGATAGGAAACATAAATATAAGTGTCACTAAAAAAAACCTCTGAAGCACTCAATAAACAATAACAATTAAAAATCCTGAAAGGATCATAATAAAAACCAACAGACAAACAAACAAATTACTTACAAGCAAGTTTGCTAACTTTGTGGTCCATATTTTGTCAAATTCTTGGCGACATTCACAGGTATACAGTTCTACTTGGGGAACACTTCACGGGGACATTGAGAATGAGGAAAATAGGGTCAAGGATCCCTCAAAGTCTCGAGAGGGTTGTAAAACGACTCCAGGCTAATTGTTATATCAAGTGGGGCAGTGACTGTGTGTGTATATATGTAAATTATGCAGGTATTGATCTATCATCTGGCTAGTTAGTTAAGGGAGATAACCTATTACAATACCCAGGTTATCTAGTAATATGTCAAGGTGCAATAGACATATGACCTAAACATATGGCCAGGGTTTATGACTGACTTGTCATCATGAATCATACAGCACTGGACTAGTCTCTTATTACTCAATTAAATGGTTCAGATATACCTGAATTGATAAATAAATAGGTATTCATGCCATAATTCAGATAAGGCCATAATAAATAAATTGCTAGATTCTCATCTAAATTTTTTTAAAAATGTGATTTTAATTTTTTTTCAGCAGATTTTTTATTGACCATATATAATATAGTCATAGTAAAGGTTCAATTATCTCTTACTTCACATCATCACCAATCTTTTTCAACCAATGACCTTTGTTTAAAATATATATATGTACCATATTACAGGAATTACCATCTTTTCAGCTGTCAAAATCATGTCGACTTTTGCAGGATTTAAAACAAAAGTAGAATGGTAGATAAATACTGATCCCTAGAGAATTAAGACAAAAAAAAAAGAGAAATAAAAAAAATCGAGGCGGAGGTATAAAATCTGGGCGGGCGGGGATGAGAATCTAGGAATATTTTTATTATGGCCTAAACTAGATATGCTGTATAGTGCTTGTTCTCATTTACAGGAAGAAACACTTGCATTCTTTCTGTATGGCCCTTATTGGAGTTTCCTGATTCTTTGTTGATGTTTCAATACACTTTCTCTGTACTATGGAAAATGTGACCCAATTCTATAAAAATCAACCAGTAACAAAGAATGTGTGGACAAAAATCCAGTATTCAGAGACTTTTTTGCCATGAACATCATTTAACACTTATAAGTTATGCAATTTGCATGCAACCTAAATTTGCCACTGAAGGATGCTTCTAAAACATTTTTTTTTCAAGTTTCCTCAATACTTATCAGTACAACATTTTCCAATAATACATAGGGACATTTATGATGTGTATGAAGTACAGGATTAGACGGTGAATACACCCTTTGTAAATATTTTTGCTAAATAAGTATTCATGCATTTAACTTTCGAATGTGTACATACATTTATATGTAAATAAACTTGTATTTTGTAAAATTATAATATTTTTGTTTACTTTGTACAATGTTCATAATTCACTGTTAAGTATATATACATGTAGAATAAAAATAAGAATGAATGAAAACTCACATTTTTAATCTATAGGTCTTATCAAGAGTCTTCTGATTTTTTTGTTGTTGTTCTTTCTATAAACTGTTCTCTGTGTTATGGAAAATGTGTATTATATTGACAATTAATAATATGTGAACAAAAGCAATCATAGCATTCAACAATTTTAATTCTTAACAAGAACAACACTAAACATGCTAAACAAAAATAAATTATACATGCAACATAAAATGATAATCTTACATTAACTAAAATTAAATTCATTCATAATTTGCGATAACGTTGAAAAATATATTTAAAAATTCAAAAGATTTTTTTTCTGTTTACTCTTAATAAAAATATTTATAAGGAATAGATTAATTAATGCAATAAACACACAATAAAATCCATTTATAGAAATCCCCACAAAAATGTGAAACAGATCTGTCTAAAAAAATTTCCAGATAGTCATTCACTTTCAATGGGTTTACTTAATGAATCAGTTAATAATAAAATGCTCTAAAAACAAACAACGTCAAACTTCCACGGAATCATCCATACTCCATTCCACCACTCCGTGATCATCACTACTAGCTGGACTTCTAGAACTCCTGACAATCCTTCGTAACGCTCCGAATGACCTGTCCTCCATCGTATCATCCAGATCTGTGTCAAGGTCAGTGTAGAATTTACCGCTCGTATCCATACTGGTATCTACGTCCGTATAGAACTTGTCACTGCCAGTGGTGTCTACGCTACGAGTGTCGGACTTCGATGCTCGCAATTCATATCCACCAGATGGTGCCTCTGCTTGGGCTTCCTCTCTTGCAAAGGTTGACGACAGCATGGAATCTCCCTCATTTCTCTCGATCAGTGGGGACATCAAGTTAAATCTGGGATAGCGGTCACTTATCCTGCCATAAGAGCCCATCTCCGAGTTGTTATTTGTGTCGTTACTGTAGAAATTATTGTTAGTATTATCTTCATCATCATTGTCATTGTCCTCGACATTATCATTGATTCTGTCATCGTTGTCAGAGGACTCTGTCTCTTGTAACTGGTGGTCCAGGAGGACTGGGGTGACACCCTCCACTTCCTCTAAAGCCTCTTTCACTGACTCGTCCATCTCTGAATCCTCTGTGGTAAAACTCTTATTTAGGGCACTACACTCCTCCTCTTCTTCATATTCCATGGAAAACTTTGGACCCTCATCAACAGCAGGTGAGTTGCAAGGTGTGTAACTAGGTATTCTGTCTTCACCACGAGAAGTAGAACTTATCCTAGCTTCATTATAAGGAGTTTCTCGTTCATCTTCACCCATGTCATCATCGGAGGTATCGTTCCTAAATGTCATGTCATCTATGGGTTTCAGAGCATCTCGAAGAAACGAGTCTATCCGCTTGGCAATGTCTGCATCACTGGAATTTGGGGACTGTGCTAGGTTTAAACTCTGAACATCTCGAGTCATACTCGCGATCAGGCCGGGGGAATCTGGACAGATGTCCTGATCTATCTCCTCATCTACAGTGTCTTCACTGCGACTCGGCTCAGAGAAATCATCTTTCATAAAGTCTAGCTGCCTCCTTCCACAAACTAAATCATACTCACTGTCTTCTTGTGTATATTCATAAGAATTTTCACCTTTAGGCCCAACACTGCTGTCATCCAAAATGTCTGAATTGTACAGTAACTGGTACCTTTTGCTGCATGCCATTCCAGCTAAGTACATAAGACTATGTGGGTTATTGACTTGACACTCTGATTCCAGGTCCATAAAGTCACAGGCACTCTCTGTTGCAATTCTCAGAAATTCCTTTTCAATCTTCTGGCCTTCTTTCTCTAGTTCTTTGACTATGTCCTCCATTGAGTACTTGACAAGGTTACAAGCACCAGGGGACTCTTTAGGGATCAGTCTCTGGGAAGTTTGAGATTCATTGGACTGGGACTGAATTCTAGATGGAGACAGGTTTACGGGATAAAGAGAAGAATTGCTACTGAGCCCTTCTTCATCAGAAAAGTCATGACAGAAGACAGCCTCTACAGTACCAGTAATGTCTTCTGGTCGGAACACAACATTGACTATGGTTTCATCTACATCTTCAACTTTCACTGATTCTTTAGCTGGTTTTGTCCTTTCAGCTTTTTGAGGACTTGTCTGTTTGGGTGGTCTCACACTATCTGTCCTCCTATAGGATAACAACTGCACAGGTTCTATGCCTTTGGGCTGGAAAAGCCTCTTCCATGACAGACGACGTCTCCTTTTCTCAGAACAATCTTCCATGAGCCTGACAATTCTCCTCTCTTCCTCATCCTGTGTGTATAATCTGGCTTTCTGACCCACTATTTTCAGATCCATTCCATTTTTTTCTGTTCCCTCAATATCATAATAATCCTCCACTTGGGCATCGATAGCATCACCTAAGCTTCTCAGTCTCTTTTGCAACATCTCCTCCTCTGGTGTTCTAAATCTGAATTTCATGTCTGCTCCATTTTTTGTTCCAAAGATATTATGGTAATGGTCCTTGAACTGGGCATCCATATCATCACCTAAGGTTTTCAAATCATCACTCAGGGTTTTCATTCTCTTTCCTACTACTTCTAAGTTCAAGCCATTCTCTGCTGTACCTTCTATGTCATAGTCACCATGCTGCTCTGTTCTAATAATGGGAGAGCTTGAGTACCTTGGTTTTGCAGACCTTTTGCCTGGTGTAACTTGAGGGGTATCACAATCACTGTGGTCCAAACTTGGCTCATAGCTAACAACTTCTGGTAATGGCAGAGCTGCATCATTCCTTCTTCCTTCTCTAGAAAACTCATCTATCTGAAGCAAAGTCTCAGAAGTTTGGGTTTCCACATTGCAATAAGCATTTAACTTTGAGTCCAAGTCTTCCAGAATTTCTTGTTCTGTTATATTTTGGGGTGAAAGAGAATTTTCAAACTTATAAATAAGATGCTCATCAAAATATGCATCCTGTACTTTATGTCTCAGGTCATATTTAGGCTTTGGAGATACCCATGGATTTGGAGAACGGAAACACATTTTACTTTCATCATATGTATCTGCTGTCATACTGTCTGTCATGTTTGCTTGGATGTACTTGTCCAAACCTTCCAGACTTGTTGATAGAGGATCCTCCTCTATTGCACTGGCTCCTGAGAAAGTGTCCTCCAAATAATTGGGACTCTTCACATCAGAGGATTTTGGCTTTGTCTCAGCACTCTTTCTGTGGGCTTTCTTCTTCTCTTTATCAGCATAGTCATCCTGAATAAGTGATTTCTCTGGACTGAGATTTCTTCTGTACACCTCAGCAGCAGTGACAAAGGTCGTAGGTAACTTCTTTCTTCTGTTGTCCACCCCTCTTTGATCCCCACCTTTATTGTACCTACTGCTATCTTGAGTTGACACAGATTCCCTGACTGGGTCACTCCTTCTATCTTTATGTAGATTCTCTGCTGACTTGGCTGCCTTCTGATCATCAGTGACACTAAACTGCATTTTCTCTGGAGAAGATTTCTCAAAAAATACTGATATTGTTGATTCCTCGTCTTGTTTAGCATTATTACTTCTATTTGCACCAACTTTACTACATACTGGAGACACAATACCATGCTCAATGTTGACATATTTCTTCCACCTTTTATCCCTCCAATCTACTAAGTTGTATTTATCTGCTAATGAACTCACAAAGGGAGATAACTTCCTCGTTTCCTTTTGAGCAGATAAATTCTTATCATTTCTGGCAGTTGGTTGAGTGTATGAGCTTTCTCCTTCCTGTTCCTTTTCATCCTGATAAGGTGCAACTTCCTCCTTTTGGTCATCAGAATCCGCCTCAAACTCAGGAGTAAAAGCTCTGTAATCACTGCAGGACATGTATGGATATTCCTCTGGATCTGTATCATTGATGTCTTCTAATGCTATGGGTCTTAATGGCTTTCTCTCCTCCATCAGATCTTCCCTCATGTTCTTGCTATGTAGGACTGGCATGCTCATACACTGCCCCTCGTCCTGGGACTCAGCACTCAGTGGCGTAAACTCACCACTACACTTGGTCTCGGACTTTGACCCCTGACCTGCCTCGTCAAGCTTTCTAACTTTAAAAGGCAGAAACTTCAGGTGAGACAGAATACTTCTCTTCTTCTGCGCTGCCTTTCTCTTCATTTTGGACTGATTCTCAGGGGAATTTTTACTGCTTTCTTTACCCATATTCTCTTTGTTGGAATCATCTAATGAACTGGCTGTTGTGTCCTGCTCTGCCTGCTTTCTCTCAAACATATCAATAAGAGGCTTGATATGCTCAGAAGCACTCCTCTGAGCTGTGTTGTGGAGCAGACCACCATACAATGGAATACAAGGTTTAGAGGGTCTACTCGACCCTACACTACTTGGAATGCATGGGTCACTTGTCTGAACTAAATGCCTAATGCTAAGATGTTCTAGCTCAATATCCCTTTGATAAGCATGATGGAACAGACTGGTTTTTTCTTCAACATTATCAGCACTAGCGTAATCTGGTCTGTATTTGATTGTGGGACTGTGTCCATTGTCTCTCTGGGACCAGGTCGGGTAGCCCCTGGGGGTGGGGACGGGGGTAACTTTTCTGTATTTAGACATATTTACCTGTGGGGTGCGAGGAACTGGGAAGGGTGGACTAATTGCATGCAGGGCTGTGTAGGAAAGTAAAATAATAAGGTGAGGGTTAGCATGATCACCACAATCACTGCTATATTTTTGTTTGGGGGGGATTAATACATTACTCTTGAGAGGATAGATAATATTTATAAAGATTGTTGAAATCAATTTCAGTGCTTTTCAAAATTATTGATCATCATCTCAATAGTTACCAAATAATTTTATTTTGGATTTATATACATATAGTATGTTCCATTTTCTTTCAGCCAAAACTTTTCCAAATAACAATTTTCTAGTGAACAACAGCATAACGACCTTAAAATTGATCTGAAATCTTGCTTAACATTTTGAAAATCTTTGACAAAACAGTGTGATTGTGATGATCTAATGAACATGCAACAGACATTACATATAGAGCACAAAGATGACCATTATCATAGTAGAAAGTGTTAAACATTACAGTAAAACATTGTCACAGCAAATATGTTTATAAGGGCTATTCCAGCCAATACCTAGCCCCCCTCCCCCGTCTCCCCTCCCAAACATTCTCTTCATGCATTAGAAAAATTCTGGGTCCCTTGCATTTTGCTAAATGCATGTTTTACTGTATATACTATAGATAGTAATAGTGCATTGCTACACACTATAAAGTTAGCCATTTTGCTTAACTACACATAAAATGACATAAGCTATACACTGCCAGTCTCTGTTTTAATAGTGGATTATAGATTAATCTAATTAATTACCTGGTTTTTCCCTTTTAAGGACTGGTGGTTCTTCTGTTACAGGTGGCTTTGGTTCAATCTATAACAAAGTTACAGTTATAGTTTAAATCCAGACATGAAGAAAGGAACAACTTAATTTATAAACTATTCTCTGATGATAATTTGTTTTTAATTAAGAAATGAATTTAATTTTTGAAGATTCATGAGGTTATATTTACATCCACTGAATATTTTCTCCTTCATTTCTTAAGAAAACCCATTGCGTTAATCACTGCATGAACTACATTAGGCATGACGCCTGTACAGATTTCTTGATCAGTGGCTGTTCCATCAATGAAACATATAAAGACGTTCGCATCATTAATACAATAATTAATCTTTTTAATCCTACTTTAAATGATTATTTAAACAGATATAAATATAAACAATAAAATGTCTTTCTTTGTTTGTTATTACTGGAATTAACGGTCGCAGCTATTGCAGAAAAAATTTACATAACCCGCTTACGCAGGTTATGTATTTTTTCTGCAACAGCTGCTTCCGTTAATTCCAGTAATAACAAACAAAGAAAGCATTTTATTGTTTCAATGAACTACGACGCTTCACGCCGGCATATTTCATGAAGCGCGTTAGCACTTCATGATAAATATGCCAGCGTGAAGCGTTGTAGTTCATATAACTCATGAATCTTCAAAAAATTAAATTCATTTCTTATATTTACATTATTTTTCTGATGACTTGCCGTAAAATTTACGCCATTCAACTGTCATTTTTAAAGCAAAACAGTGTGCACTATATTTTTTGACGTCAAGTGCGGTATCATGACGTAACAATGGAGATATTCATGCTTATTCGTGGTACATATGTAATGTAGTTCACGAGAAAATGAACTGCATTTTATTTTGTAAAGAATCATTGGGGAAATTTATTGGAAATGTAATATTTATTAATTAACCTTTTCCACAGGTTTTTTGGTACTGGCTGCCGTGGATCGTAACTTGATAGGACCACCTTCAAATATGTTCCCAAGACCTACACCCATCACTTTCTTCCCTTTCACTTCATGCTTTTCTTCTGCTAAAACAAAGTTATATCAAAAGTTATCATCATCCTGCTACACTACATTGCTAAAACTCTTGTCAATTTGTTGCTAAATACATTTAAAAATAATGAATTCATTTTTTAAGTTTTGTGGGTTTTATTGGCAAAACTATAACAGTATAATTCCTCCCTGTTTTGCTGACAAAATAAATGAATTCTTACTGCAAATTGCAAATTTTCATATTATGGTTGTGACAAAGCAAGATAACTGAGTTTGTTTTAATCAAGTGTTCAAAATGAATCTTTGTGTAAAAATTTCCTTCATTTAATGTTGATCATGATCTCAAAGTTCCTACATTTCTTCAATTGCTATCGATATCTTAATTTCATTAGTACCTTGTGGAGTTTCTGGAGCCACTTCATTAGACTCCCCCTCCTCTATGACCTCCACGAAGTTGGACGGGAACACCCCTGTCTTCCCATTGACCACGCCTTCCCACCATCCCTCCTCCTCCTACAAAACAATCACATACATATACCAGACCTGTTTACCCATATCATCGTCTCTCAGTATTTTTGCTTAGATTTATCCATGAGATTTGGCAATTGCCAGTAAGATTTAACTTTCCAACAATGTTTCATATTTTTAAAGAGAACTTGCTTTTCTGATTACAAAAAAACTTGGTTTAACATTATGGTCTTTGTCATTTTATAATACCGTGCAGCATTTTGGCAACTTGACATCACTTAAGTGTTTGAAATCTTTCTCTTTTTTAGTGATTCAAAAGCGTAAAACAAAGACAGATCATAACAAAAACTAACTGCTAATTCTAAACAAACATATTTCTGATTTCCTTTATTTTCATGAAAGCAAATCGTGAGATGTATTTTAAACTAAAAATCCGTACAAAATACGGAGAAATCATAAGAGTAAACAGGTCTGATGTACATCAGTCTTTCACCTACAGTTGAACTTTGTTTTCTCAAACCCAAATATTTCTATTACCATGGATATGTCAAAGTGAGTTGGAAGTTCCAATTTCTATCTTTCAATGTAATTTAATCTAAATTTCTTGAAATTCTATATCTCATAATGTATTTCTTGTCCCATTGAGTTCAAAATTATGAGGACAGACTGCATCAAATATCAAGGTAAAGTTCTATTTTTGAGCATTAAATTACGGAATAAATGTAAGAAGTTACACACATTTTACATGTATAACCTTGATTTGTACAATTTTTAGCAGGGGTTTTAAAAGACGGTAGTCCGAGGTCCGTGACATAAAATTTATGGGGGCGGACAAGCTAATTGTTACCCTTGGATAATCCGTCGGACTAGTGGTTTTTGAGAAGAAAAACATATTTTCATTTAATTTTTAAAAATTTTTTTTTAACACCCTGGAATGCCTTATGTTGCCTCAGAAATTAATTAAAATTAAGGCCTAAAAAATTATGTAGGTTTCCTGTAACCTGACCAATACATTCAAATTACCCCTGAATGGACTTTTTTTTTCTGCCAAATGGCAAAACCCTCAGCTGGTGCATTTACCTTAAATATAAAGAGTAATCATTATTGTAACAACAATTTCCACCCAACACTTTTTTTTAATGTTCGTTTTATGCCACTAGGCAGCCATGTTGGCCGGGTGTCCACTGTAAATATAGCACCTGCTTTATTCAGTCCGGGGATGTTTGACCATTCATAAGCAAAAAAAAAATTTGAATATAGTGTCAAGCAGATGGATACATTTTTGAGGCAATTTGTATTCCATGTAGGCAAAAGGTGTTACATTATCATGATTATTAGCACGCAAAAATACTTAGCTAATCAAAAAACTTGCTTCAACTAGAATATTTTTTTTCTTCAAATATCACACATCTTTTGTTTTCTGTCCTTGACTAAGAAAGTTATGCTTGCTAAGACGGATAACTTTAACATTGGTACAATGTTATCTTTCTTTCAATAATGTTCATCAACAAATTGAATGATTTGAAATTTCCCCCCAAATGGTAGAAAACATTTGAATAAATTTCCTATTTATCTCCACCTTCTCTTACAGAATGCTTGTCATTAGGCCTAAAAAAAATTTACTTTTTGGTTCTTAGGCCCGCCTGCATTTCATTCAACAATGCGCATTACCCATTTTTATCCTCAAATGAATAAAATTTCTCTCATGCGCTCGTACGGTGCCAAAAAAATCCAAAATTCCAGACCGCATTTTGACTGCAATTTAGGAATCAGTAAAACGTTTGACAAACATCAAGATGATCCAGACTTTTGACCTAGTTAAAATCACAAATATGGCCGTCAAGTAAACAGGATAAGGTGCCAAGATTAAGTCAAGTTATTGTGGCATTGATTTTAGTGCAAATTCATGAGGTAATGTTTTTCCATGGTAAAAAGTGGGGGTTTCTGAAGGTTTTCCATGCTAGAACTTGATCAGTAACACTATCAAAGACGTCTCCCTCAACTTCAGAACTCGGACGTCAGCAAGATTTGCAGATTTCATTTAGCAGTGTTTAGTGTGGGTTAACCAAAGACTGATGAATTTGACAATGTTTAATAAAATCATTAGCGCTATTTAGAGTGCTGAAACACTTAGATTAATTGTGTTACGTGAGCAATTGACCAAATATATCACCAAAAGTGTTGGGTTTTGTAAGTTTAAATGTCTCATTTTTAGGATGCCATCGTTTCATTACACGTATCATTGGGATGTAGAAGATGCAAGTGAAAAGAGAAAGACGCAGGAAATAATTATTTTGATTTCTACACTTGATGTTGAAGCACTATTGATTAAAACTTGCTAGTTTTGTAATTATACCTTTAAAAAAATTTAATATCTGGCATCTGTTTTTCATGAGATAAAAAGGAAAAAAATGCCTCCCTCCCGCATTTATTTTAGAGATAACTGTCCTGAGAACCAAGTTATTAATTTTTTTTGGCTTTATATAATAATGATAAAATTTGAATGCAACTACCTCAAAACAGGTGTGTCCAGGCCTGAGAACCGGAACTAACTTCAGTTTTATTCAGCCTAAAGGCTTATATTACAGTGTCTACTTGTTTCAATATTCAACACATGAATTAAAAACCTAAATTTTGTTAATAATCATTTACATTTTTTGCCTATAGCAGGACACATGCAATGAAAAATCTATGGTCCTTCCATCATTAATTACCTGTTTAATAACTTCCACAATATCCCCCACTTCTATTTTAAGTTCATCCTCATTCTCTGGTTCATAGTCAAACAGGACCTTGGCTTTCTTCCTCTTCTCTGTGTGGTGATGCTCTAAAACATAAATTAACGTGTCAATAAATGTACAACAATTCTGGGTATATTGTTCCTTTTTTTTTAATTTTGGAGTTCGTGAAAAGTCCAACTTCAAACTTACCAAAACTTTTATACTTTCTCAGTCTATTAAGCATTATGTCCTTGATTTTTCAAATCAGAATGATATACTTTTATATATGCCAAAACATATATGTAGATGCTGTGCTTATTTACTACAAAAATCAATTCATGCATACAATAGTGACATGCTAATCAATAGAGATAGCCTTTCCAAGTAGATGAATAACATTTTTCAGCAGTATTAAGCTTAGGTTTATCAATTTATAGATCCTTTTAATCAAACAAAAAAAATCAATACATGTTTTACCATTATGTAACATGAACAGCTGTTCCCTAAATATTGCTGATCAGAAATCTTATTTTCCCATTTTTTACTGTTTCATAAGCAGTAAAAAAGGAACATCAAAATATGATTCAGCTTTTAAGGTAAGTGTAAATAAGCTTTGTTCCCTTCCTTTTTTCTTCAGGATCCCATATCTTATTCAAAATATATAAGAAAAAAACTAGCCATTTAATTTTTTTTTAGCATAAAACTTGATAATCATTAATATTGATTCAAAGCTTTATAGTAGGATATAATCCCAGCCCAATGTACAGCAAAGACACTAATAGCTACTATATTGTTTCCTTCTGACATTTGAAATGAGGGAAAAAAATAAAAATACACAAGATTTTGAATATACTTGAACATTTTCCACTTTAAAGTGTTGAGCCAGTCTATGCATGCACTATTATTTTCATATTTAAGTTTCTAAGGAAAAATTCAGGTCTGGTCAGACATTGTCACATTACTCTCATTGTTATCTATTATTTTATTAAAAGAGAAATTAGTTTCTTCTTTAATATGATGCTTAACCTTATATGACTACATGTAACAAGCCCTAAACATCAGCCTTTAATTGTTGTTTATGTACCTTTCCTTTTCTGGGGTGCAGCCCCCACATGGACATCTTTGAGTTTACTGGCCAGTTCTTTAACAGAGGATCTTTGCTGGGCAACAAGAAGGTCTTTCTTGGGCTCTTCTTTTTTCTTCTCTATTACCTGGAATAAAGAACATTAAACATGTTAACATTACCCATGAACACCCCCACCCCCAAAGAAATCATAACTTTAAGAAAAATATTCCAATAGCTATTTTAATACATGTATGTTAAATTTGGCCAGATATAACTCACATCTACTAAATATTTCGAAAATTAAATATCCTTTAAAAAAATCACAAGCCCAATTGAAAGAAAACCATATTTACCACCTGGTTTTTCTTACTTGGCTAAATTCAAAGAATTAATTAAAAATCTCCCCTTTCAACAGTAAAGAACTATATGCGGTATATTGCATATATTTGCCCCCACAAAAGTCAAATTTTGAAAACTTCTTGAAATGTGCTGAATTCAATAAATTGTATGAAAGATATAAATTAACAGAAAATATTATAGTGTCAAAGCAGTGTATTCACAATTTTTGTTTTTATGACATCGCAAACTAGTCCGATTTTATATCCTTTTTCAGAAAGAGAACAAAATTGACAAAATTTCAACAATTTTAGCTTGAAAATTTACAGAGCGCAAGTTTGTTCAGGAACAATATTGACATATTTCATTGATATTATCATTCTACACATTATATCAAAATATTGATCCTGAACACACATGCGCTCGGTGACTTTTACTCAAAATATCGACAAAATATGTACATTTTTCTGTAAAATTCATAAAAAAACTGAAATTTACGTCATGTTTATGACGTCATTACGTACATATGGCGTCATTACTTAGGAAAATATTAAGTGCTTTGAAGTCAGCATATACTCCCCTGTTTAAGAACTTAATTAAATATATCTCCATCAAAGTTTGATTTGGGGGGCAAATATTGGTTATTACCGAATAAAGTTCTTTCCCCTGTCCATACCTTGACAAAGTTGTCGGGGAACATGCCCTTTTTGCCGTTCAGCTCCCCCTCCCACCAGCCTCCTTCTGACGTCTGGACATTCTTGATGATGTCCCCCACTTTAATGGTAAGCTCATCCTCCTGTTCTGCATCATAATCAAATTCCACCAAAACTTCAACTGCAAAGGGGAAAATTTTTTTAGCATTTCAGTTGAATTTTCAATTCAAGGTAGAGTAATATGTGGCTTACAAATTATTAATAAATATTCTATTAATTGTTACAATTTAATTTCAGCACTGACCTCACAATCTACTGTAAAATCATGCATTTTCATGGGGTCAAATTTTCGAGGTAAAAAGGAAAAGATATATGCTTGTGGGGATTTGATTTCGTGGTTGGAAAATGTTAAGTAGTAATGCAAATGAAATTTTACACTACGTGGTGGTCATAAATTTGTGTGTCTCTCCATACCTCGAAAACAACAAAAATTAAACCCCCAGGAAAATGAGTGATTTTGCAGTATCATAAACCAGATAAACTGTAAACATACTAACCTTCATCACTGAATCAATTACAATTAATAACTAGTAATTATAATTATTACATGTTCCCTGAAATAACTATCTAGTGATCAGTTAGAAATTCTCATTTGAACTTAATTTTCTTTTTTTACACTAAGGTTAATTTTAGCTCTGTTTTCATACTTTTTTGCATTTAATTATATAAGAGAAAATAATATGTTTTATGGTGTGACCGTTGGGGCGAGCACAGTTGTACCATCAAAAACACTTGAAAAATTGATCAGCCACTTCAAACATCAAGCCGCATGAGACATCTCGAATAGCTGTGACGTCACACGACATCACGGAGCTCATCGAAGCTTTCGGAGACAGCTGAGCGTCTGGTTGAAACTAAAGACCTTATGCAATTTTGGTCAAAAAACCTTGCAGAGTTATTTTTTGTTTCTTTGAAAGATTTCTACAAACTGAAAGCCAAGCTAATTGCTTTAGGTTATTATTTATTTAATTGCGCAAAGGACATTGGGTAGTAAAGGAATTCTGGGGATGTTTCACAAAAAAAATTTGCCTGACGTATGCACAGATTTCATTCCAAATTTTGAATTCCTCTGTTCTTACACATTAGTCTATTGAGCTCGCTTCGCAAACGTCGCTTCACTCGCTATTAAAGATTTATTTTCCTATGCTGCAAGGCTCAAGGATAGAAAATGCAACTTTAAAAAAAAATCATATCTAAAAACAAACTGTGAAATAACCTATATATGTACATGTTGTCCTTTGATATTAAGATAAATGGATTAAACTTTATAACATGATTCTTGCCCATATAATTTTAAGTATGCTTAGTGTGCAAAAAATTGCTAGACAGAAAAAGTTTCCTCAATTTTTGGCCAGGAATAACTATCAGGAAATACTTGGAATAGATTATTTTTTTAAACACTCAATGTAATCAGATATCCGTAAATTTAAAATGATAAAAATTTCATATCAACAAAAAAAAATGTGGGAAAACGTAAAATGCTTCCTATTCTAGTAGACTGTCAAAGTGTCAAACTGTGATAAAACAAACTTATAATAACTATATTGCAGAGGCGTTGAAAGAGGGGGTTTAAAACCCTTTGAAATAAGCTGCACTGTGCAGACCTAACGTTATATATCTATCATGTTGCTTACTCAACAGTAGTAAAATACTTGAGATAAACAAGTACATTTTGAAGTTATCATAATATTACTGAAATGTTTCATACAACTGAATATATTCTACACTAGACCAATTAGGCATTTGAGAGTCAAGCATCTTTTCCTGTATTTATGTCACATTGTCCCCACAACAAATCGGATTTTTTTTTTTGTGAATGACCTCCTTTAAAATCTTTACTTTTTCAGAGTAATTGCTTCATTGTTTATTGAATGACACTACTCCACAAAAGTACAATAAAAGTTTCTGTTTTGTGGAATGTGACTATTCATGTGCTCAGGTAAAGCCCTGTGTTGACATCATGATTCTGGAATGTTTACAACACCTGCACCTGAACGACTCAAGCGGCTTGATCATTATTCAAGCTTCAGGGATGTAAAAATTGTGAAAGAAAAAAAATAAGGAGTGTTGGGAAAAAGTTTCCATCGTTGAAAATTTTGCATCATTTGGATACTGTCAGAAAGGTGTTTTATCATCTGTCAACGACTTCCTGACCAAACGTGAAATATTTTGGCGCTTAAATGAAAACACCACATACCATGCAATATGTATCACTATCATTTGATTGAAAAGTTGAATTTATACATTTTTTAAAAGAACAACATATAAAACAAGTCTTACCCATTTTGAAATAGTTAGAAGTATCAAGTTGTCAACTCATTTCTTTCGTACAATGACTTACAAATATGGCGGAAAGTCACGTGACCATACAAAAACCTTTCTAAGCCTATAGCTTATTTCAATATAGTAGATCAAAGTAACTGATGAAAGTAAAAACGTGACAGACGTGTGTTTTGAAATAAAAATAAAACAGATTACTTAAATAAAATCTTTTATTGGCTAACGTTTTATATATATATTTTTTTCAATACCGTCGGTGAGCTTTCATGAAATTAACATGTATACTTCCATGTGCAATTTCTCGAGACAAGACTTTTTATATTAATTGACCTTTTGAACTTGAGTTTGGAGTTCTGTTGTACTTAAAAAACAAATTTGGTTTTCATATTTAAATGGTTGGAGCTAGTGATTTCATTCTACACAAGCGTATTCCCTGTGACAAGACCTCCCCTTGAATGCAATTAAACAATTTTGACCCTGTTATGACCTTGACCTTTGATTTTGATTCACTTTTACTTCGGTTATATCTTTTTAACAGTTAGACAAGGACTTTATTTTTTGGCATATGTATTTCTCGTGATAAGACACTCTATTCGGTACAAACACGTTACCCTTTGACCATGACTTCATCGTCGCAAACCACGGTCAAAATGTACGATCCTCTACCATTCTGGCGGGTAGGAGAGAGCTACATGCGGACTCCGAACCGTGGCTTGAGACGATGTCAAACTCGTGACCTCGGAGTTTGGCCTACTTTTAAAAACGTTTACCTCGACCGAAACCTTGGAAAGGTTGCTATAGGACTTTGCTATTTCACATGTCTTGTTCCTTGTGGTAAGAGCTTCCCTTAGTTACCATGCACATTTCGACCGTTTGATCTTGAGCTTTTAAATTGAAAAGCTTTCAGTCGTAGGTAAAAATACAAGGTCAAAGTCAAAAAAGTACTCAATTAAGTAGGTCTTATCATTTTGAATATGAAAGTCCTAACACAAAGCATAGGTGCTTTATTGGTTTCAGGTTGGTGTATTTTCTGTCTTATGCATGTGTTTTTTAATACACTCAAAGGTGCTTGTAGACAGTACTTTCCAGACCCCCCCCCCCCCCCACGGGTTCAAAGATATTTTTTATTTTTATTCACCTTTTTTTCCATAAAGTTATCTTGTAGTACACATTTACAATGTATTCCATATCAAAAATCCAAAAATTAATTATTAACGATTAAGAATAATTAAGAATTATCATTTTATTTAATTAAAAAAATGAAATCGGCGGTATTATAAACTCGGGTATTTTTTCTCTTTTTTTTTTAAAATAAAATGTTAGGCCTATTTTTTTTTTTTTTAGATTTTTCATTTGGAATACATTGTAAATGTGAACCAGAAGATAAATTTATGAATAAATATATCTTTGGTCCCGCGTTGTGTATTTAGGCAAGGCCGTAACTGGGCTCAAAGTTTTAATGAGGCAATGGATCTGGGGGCCACTCGAGTCTCATGTCCATAGGAGTTTCTGAGGGGGTTCTCTGGGGATACGGGATTTAAAAAAAAATTCAAAGACAATCTTTGAATCCAGAGGAATATTGATCCTTACGCTGAAGGTTCGAATCAGCACTGCGGGGATGTGGAGATATAACCTTCGGAAGAGTCCGTAAAAACCGAGGTCCCATGTTGCAGTATGATATTGATATGCTTGCACAAAAAAGATCGGTCAATGGCCCTGAGCGCCAAGTATTGCTCTAAAATTTGCAGCCATCTACTGCAAGTGGTGGCATCTTAATAAGAGGGAAAAAATCTTGAAATGGGCGTAAAACAAAAATAAACAAATAAAATAAAATAAAAAAGAAACAGACAAACAAATTAAAACTAAAGTTTTGATAATTATTTTTTTTACATGCGTTCTAAACATTAATGACACACCTGGTAAGAAGATTTACAGGTTTACAGAAATTGAAAGTATTATTTTAGTACTAAGACAAATAATTAATTAAAGTTAAAAATAAATCTCTTTTTTTTTCAATTTTCACTATGCTCTAAAATTTTAGTGAGGCATTTGCTTCACTTGCCTTACGGCCTTGTTAGAGGGTGGGGTCCTGCATGTCCACAAGCACCATTGAATAAAACGACAATTTATAGAAATGTGATATTTTTAAAGTGCTAATTTCAGCAATTTTCAATACTTATATAATGAGTTTAATATACTTCTATTATAAACAGATAAAGTAACTTGAATAACACACAAGCGCAGCACATACATGTATATGCTATTCAAAACTGCAAAAGCTATGATCATGATGATCAAGATTAATTTGTCACTCCAAGCACAGGGACTTGCTCCTGGCGTGTAAAAAATATTTATAAAAAAACTCGATATACTATAAAACTACATGTAGTTTTATAGTATATATCGTTTTTTTTTTTAATAAATATTTTTTACACGCCAGAAGCAAGTCCCTGTGCTCCAAGGTCAAGGTCACGAGGGTAAAAAAAATCCTAAGAACTTCAAAGTTCTTGGCATAAGGAATTTGCATGTACATGTATGTGAAATAAGAAATATTTGTTGAAAAATATTGAAAATATCGCGCGGGAATTTATATTAAATTTTGTAGCTCACTTGACACGAGTTATCCTACTTTTAATACTCTTTTCGATGAGAAGGTAGAAATCTCCCTTATGCAATCCATCAATCGATTCCATTCCTGCATCAGCGATTATCATTATAGATGAAATTGACGACTTTATACCAAATTGTGTAAGTATGTAACACAATTCGATCAGGAAATTATAGTTATTTAATGTGAAGAACCAAATGTTCTTCATCTATTTTTTCTCTGTTGTTGAAAACTTGCAAAGTTTTCTTCACAACAGTACTGGAATGTATCATTGTATGTAGTGTAGTAATGATACAGGTGTACAAACATTAATGACTTGTACTATCTTAATAACCTATTCTTGAAAGTCAACAGTTACTAAAAAGTCTGTAGACGAAGATATCTCGATATTACACCAAGCACACAAGCAACTCATCTTGTTCACTAGATCATCAATATCCTGGCGTATTGTATTTTCGACCTATTTAGATGTTATATATTAATTTATTGTAAACTTTACAGAATCTGAAAAAATAAGGGCTTAAAATGTTAGCATATGTATCTATAAATAAAATGATACAACCCAAATTGCAGTTTTGTGTTTATTTTATTTAGATGCCATAATATGGAGAGGGTACAGTTTTCCTTACAAAAATATAAACGTCTTGTGTTTTCGACCTAAATATAGTATCAAGGCCAAATCAGTATTGGCTATAAATATCCATTGGATATTCCAAACAATAAAAATACGATTGTCTGTCTTTCAAAAAAACATTGAACAAGTTGCATGTTTTGGTTGCAAATACATTTATTCGTTGGTTGAACCCATCTGTCAGTAGCTGTGCATTTCCCAAAAAAATCAATGAAATTACGTTGCATTTTTCAGTAAAAATCTGTAAGAAAGTGCTCATATTTAAGGAAGAAAAAAAATTGTTTGATCCACCCATTCATTTCAATATTCATGCGTCTCTTTGACAGAGATCTTAATTTTCTTTCGGAAAAATGTCATTAAAAAATCTTTATAATTAACCGATTACGACTTTAATTAATCAACAGATAAAATGTGCATTAGTAAAAAGACTAGAATTTCTGACATCGGACTAAAACCATCAGGGGAATTCTGTTAAATAAATTATTTTGGATATTTTCACCACAGTTGTGCTTCAAAGGTATCTTTCTAAGTGTACCAACCGAAAATAATGTTCTACCGCGCGGAATCTGCACGGGAAGCAGATTGGGAAAAATAGGTCGAAAATACAATACGGTCGAAAACAGGATACGAGACGATATAAACACAGAAGCTTGGCCAAGTTGGGTGTGTAATATTAAAAAAAAAAATCAAATATGTAATACTAATATAATATGAGGGAAGATGCCATTTTGGACCCCTTCCTCATTTCAACCTCTGTTTTCGTTATACTTTCCCATATTTTACAGATTTACTGCCTCTGATTTGTCATAAAGACATACATGAAATGCTTGAATTTTCTCCTTGGAGCCTCTATAATATATTACATATTTTATAAATAAATAATAATAATCCAAACAGGCTCTTTAGGACATATTTATAGGGGACAGAAAGTGAAAGAACCCTCAGCAACAGCATTTTACATTCAAATATGAAATTAGAATGCATTTTTTTTTTTTCAAAAAAATTATAATGACCAATTGCTTTAACTGAGTAGAAAACTCTGAGGTTTGTGAATGTGTTACTTGATTTTTTACAAGCTGTAAATTTTGATGTTTTGTTTTCTCACTGAAATGTCTATGAATTTTTTGCTATACCCAATCAACATGACAGGATGACAGGAATATGCACAGCAGGTTTGACTGGTTTGGAGGGGATGCCTACTCCTCCATGGCATCTTATCCTATTTCTGTTTTCATACTTTTAGATGTTCATGTCGACTCTACTTCTGCATTATATATTATTGAGAATGATCACTGTTTGTTAGGCCGGAATTAAAAATATCTGTGTTTCCCCTAACCCGACCCTAAATTCTCAAGTTGGGTCGGTAGGTAGGTAAACAATTTTATTTTCTGACAGCATCTTTGAAAATACATTCTAAAATTTAATGGAAAATTACATATTTATAAATAAGAAAAGTACAAAAGAAAGTGATTTGTGAACAAAATGCTAAGTATCATACATATGCCGTTTAAAAGTAAAATTCATGATTAATTTATTCACAACTGTAATTTAGATGAACTTGTGAAATATCTCACCAGAGTACATTTATATAAATCGAAGAAAAAAAAGACAAGATTCTCAAATACGGAAAGACTGGACATCTGAGTATATTTTTTCAAACCTTCAATCACCCTCCAGTGCTTATAGACAGTCATTGTACTTTTTTGAGGGCCATGAGATTTGCAGCGGTTCTAGAGCATTTTGCTTTAGAGTTAAGACATACGTGGCTAATTTTAAGTCGCAGGTTTAAATACCAATGAGGAACGTTGAAAATGGTCCTTCAAAAGGGACCATAA